CCCCCTCCACATCAAACCATGACAGTATGACACTGCTTGTCTTCCAAGGTCTTTTTACAAGAATGTATCTGAAACACTTCAGAACTCTATTTTATTTAAACAAAAAAAAAAAGCAGAACTAACAAAGTTTTGACATATTTATTTGAATTTTCTGTGGTAGTTAAAGCCACAGAGCAAAATTGGCCTGATGAAAATAAGTGAAGGAAAATAGAAATAAGAAATGTTCTGGAATTGCTTGCTACTGCTAGAATCTGAGGTTTTGCCCTGATACGAGCCAATTCACTGCTAAACCTAGAAATACTTCTCACAGCACCTGTTCTTAGATGATTTTAAGAAATTCATTTATGTGTTAAATATGAACTTTCTTACAGTATTCAAAAGTGGCGAATAATTCCAAAGAGTTGGAAGACTGTGAGCAAGCTAACAAACTGGGAGCAGTTAACAGTACCTTAAGGTATGCTGTGATGCACAACAATAATACGGAAATAAAAATAGCACAAAGGAGCATTTCGTTTTGACTGTCTTGTTTTTGCAATGTGCTGGGTTTTGTTCTTCCTTCTTTCCATAGCGCATTAGAAAATAAATGTGAAATGATGCAAGAACATCTGATGGTAAAGGTGTTAAGTGACAAGTAGACTTTCTTGGTTTTAAAAGTAAGATGGTATTTTACAGCATGAAGAGTCAGAGGAAACTTGCAAACAAACCCACTTTCTACTTTTTACCAGTATCAGCCTTCGTTCTTGATGACTGTGCTGGATTAAGGGGTTCTGTCCTGCTCTGTTCCTCTGTTACACTGATGTGCCTGTTTGTGATCATTCAGTGAACCAGATCAGGGAGCTTGTGAGTTAGTTTTGTTGTCAGGAAAGTTATTTTTAGCTTGGATCAATTCCCTGATCTTGCTTATTGCACAGCACAGTCAAGATTGAGTGGGAGGAGTTCTGCGGGATGGTCTTGTCCCTGAGCAGGAGAGTGTGTGGAATGGCACCTAGAAAAACTTGCATTCTACTGAATTCCCCACCTTTAAAAAGTAAAACTAGAAAAATCAGATCTTCCCTGTTGATGGAGAGGTGTGGTGTCTTTGGCCACAGATTTCAGCAGTTCTGCCTGATAGAGATGTTGAAACTCTTTCCTGTCGTCTGACAAAATGAGACTGCTATGAAAAAGCAACTGCTTCTGCCTGGTGTGTGGTTTAAACCAAACTGGGTAGAGCCCTTATCCAAGGTTTTTTAGGGGAAATAAGAAACTACTAGCTCTCTTCCACTCTTGTAGGGCCAAAGAATATGAGATTGAGTACAAATACGGAGAGCTGAAGAGAATGCCTTTTTTGAGAGTAGAGTAGACAGTTAAAATTGGGAGAGGGCAGGTAATGGGTCGTGCAAGGACAGGAAGAGTTTGTGCTTTGTAAGCAAACCTCCATGTTCGCTACCTAGCAGTGCATCATCCTCATGGTTTTGGGTGATTTTCCCCTTATCAGCTGTGTTTCTTGTGATTATCAAATCTTGCCTGATAGTAATTACTGGAGAAGTTCCTCGCCTAGTGCCAAGTATGAAGTCTCCTATTGTGATTTGGCAGAAGTTTAGAAATGGATCTTGTTATAGAACTGCCTCTTGTTGTAGAATTGAGCTAGTACTAATTTGATCAAACGAAATAGGTTGTTTATGTTATTTCAAGGTGCTTCACTGCACCCTGGAGCAGAGTTCCCAATCTTAACTGTGCTTACATTTTGCAGCCAGTAGCATGGCATCAGTAGCTCTGTGCTGCACATGAGTGTAGAAGAAAGCGTTCAGCTTTTGGCACTGTTTGTGTTTCATAGTGTGGGAACTTCAAAGTACTTTTCTCTGGTACAGTACACCTTTGAAAATGCTGGCGTGAATGGAATACCGTTATTATTTAAAAGGCTTAAGATAAATCATATAGAGTAATTTAGCTTGGAAGGGGCATTTAGACATCCAGTCTTCCTCTAAAAAGCAAGGTTAACTATTGTAGATCTCATTGAATGTACAGGTTACGAAAATATGATGATTCCTCCCCCCTCCCTGAAGCGACAGCTGCTGATGTAGTACTTTGGGAAGTGTTAAAAAAGTATGCTATGAAAGTGTTTTACCAAGGTCTTACTGAAGGAAGAGAAGTCACTGCTACTGTGCAGTTAGTTCAAATAATGATGATGAAATCATCTTGCTGTCTAACATGAAGATGACTTTTTCAAGTATTGCAGTTGATTCTTGCTTGAAGCTCTGTGCAGCTAACAAGTGGTAACTCCATATATTCTGGAGTTTCAGATACAGTAATTCAGAATTCAGTTCCAAGTTAACTACTATGTGGATTGTGTTTCTTTCAGTAGCTCTTACTATGTTGCTTATTTAAAAGTTTAAAATCAAATGTATTTTTTTCCCCCTCAGTAACCAAAGTAAGGAGGCTTTCATTGACTGGGCAAGATACGATGATTCACAGGATCATTTTTGTGAACTTGATGGTAAAACGTTTAAACTTTTTCAGAGTGTTTGTTTTATTTGCTGTCTCTTAAAAATACAAAAGATTATAGTTTCTCTGCAAATAACAATTTTTAAAAAGTTTTAATTTTGGTCTAAACAGAGATGTGACAGTTCATATCATCTTACATGCAAAGAGTGCAATTTTTTACAAGGAGCGTTTGGTAGTCTACACAGAACGTTCACTGTTACCTCCTGTTAGTGTAGTGAACAGGAGACTTTTGTGGAAACAAAAAAGAAGGTAAATGGGAGTGGGTTAGCGTATATTCCTTAAAAAGCTGCTTCTCTCAAAATAGTTGAATCTAGCACAAATGTAAGACAAATTACTTGCAGCTGATTCAGTTTCTTACTACCATGTTATTTTTGTTACTGTTCTGCTGTCTCTGCTTGGACTGAGTTTGTTCCTCTTCCAGCCTTGTTATGTTTCCAAATGATCTCTGCACTAAATTCACCCTTATGTGTAAGGACTTTCTTATTGTTGGAACATTAGGATACTAGATTGTGTCTTCCCTCTGCTCCACGTGTGAGTGTCTTTTTATAGATCATAGAATCATAGAATGGTTAGGGCTGGAAGGGACCTTCAAAGGTCATCTAGTCCAACCCCCCTGCAAGGAACAGGGATATCTCCAACTAGATCAGGTTGCTCAGGGCCTTGTCCAACCTGGCCTTGAACGTCTCCAGGGATGGAGCATCCACCACCTCTCTGGGCAACCTGTTCCAGTGTTCTACCACTCTCATAGTAAAAAATTTTTTCCTAATATCCAACCTGAACCTACCTCCCTCTATTTTAAAACCATTACCCCTTGTCCTATCATAACTGGCCCTCCTGAACAGCCTCTCCCCATCTTTCCTGTAGGCCCCCTTGAGGTACTGGAAGACCGCTATAAGGTCACCCCGGAGCCTCCTCTTCTCCAGGCTGAACAGCCCCAACTCTTTCAGCCTGTCCTCATAGGAAAGGTGCTCCAGCCCTCTTATCATCTTCGTGGCCCTCCTCTGGACCCTCTCCAACTGGTCCATGTCCTTCTTATGTTGGGGGCTCCAGAACTGGACGCAGTACTCCAAGTGAGGTCTCACAAGGGCAGAGTAGAGGGGGAGAATCACCTCCCTCGACCTGCTGGCCACACTCCTCTTGATGCAGCCCAGGACGCGGTTGGCCTTCTGGGCCGCAAGAGCACATTGCCGGCTCATATTGAGCTTCTCAATATGAGAAATTCTTCTTCTTTATTTGCTTGTAACATTCAAAGCTTAAAGGAATGTTTTTCAGATAAACATGAGAATTGCCAAGTTCAGGAATGACTGCTAAAGGCCTTTTTAACAAACACCTTAGAAAGCTTTCTATGCTAGGAAGACTTAGGGCATAATGCAAGATGTTTTAATCTACCTTTAGGCTAATGTTTGGTGTCACCTGAGAAAGTAGCAGCTATAGTGGACTTACCAACTGTGATTCTCTTCCAACACCTCTGCTGCATCTTATCTGTGAGAATTTTCTATATAAGCTGTTTCTGTAATAGTGAGCATTACTGTAGATCTGAACAAGCTGCTGTTATCTCTATCTTCAAGCTGTGTACTTACATTTTTAAGAGGACTCAGTTGGGAAAGTTATAGTTTAGGATCACTTCTTTTGGAAGTAATACTAACTCAGGTAGTTCCTGGTTCTACCTCCATCTCTCCTTATATCGTGCCCTGCCGAAGGAGGATGTACTGCCTCCCAGCTGTGTTTTTCCAGTGCTTTTTTGTACTGGCTCTGGCATGCATCTTTGTGCATGGTAAGCCGATTCATCTTACTTGAATAGTGGGAAAGTAAGTTGACATCTCCCTCTCATCTGCCAGATTGTTGTGATGAACTGGCTTATCAGGTGAGTTTGTGAGCTGGAGCAGGGAGAGGTGAGAGAAACTACTAGAAGTGACTGGGAGGAAGTAGAAACTCTTGTTCTCTTCCTCTCTTTTCCTGACAGTGAGAGAGCTCTTAATTCACTCAACTGTAGCACAAAACCATTATCATCAGTTTTATTTTCCACTAGCTTTTTGTTGGGCTTAATGATAAACTACATAAGGGAATTGATCTAGCTGAAAAAAACTTCATAACCCAGGTCAGCTTTCCATCTTTCAGTTGCACTGCCCCACAGACTGAGTTATATGTGGATGGCAAGAAGAAAAAGCGGAGACCTAAGGTGACCAGGCAATGTTGGAACTGCTTATGTTAGCCGTGCTCTCACAGAAATAAAGCTATAATTTGACTTTGTCTCATCTGGCACTCACTGTGGTGTTGTGCGTCTTGTGTCTGTCTCTCTTCTTTGTTTTTGCTACTGCTGCCGAAACGATGCTTAACTGCTCATGCAGAATCATCTCTTCTTTTTAGAGCAGTTTTCACTCTGTTTTTGTGGCTTTTTTCAACATCTGAGGAAATAATCAGTAGCACTGCTTGGCCTATTCCTATGAATAAGTCTCTGGACCTACCAGCTTGTATCGTATATGGGGTTTTTTAAGCACGAGTTGCTCTTGACCTAGAATCTCAGAGGAGGGAATTCTTCCTGCTTTTTACTAGTTGTGGCTTGAAAATTAAGTTTCTATTCATATGGAGTTTTTAAGCAGAGAGAATACTGTTTCACCATTTTCTTTGGATATGTTACCTGAATTTGTAGTGAACTTGAGAGATGGGGGTATAACTTGTTGAAATGCTGCTTAAATAACACGTTTCTTGCTGTAACCAACCACACGTTCTGCAATATGCCAAAAGTTTGTTCAATTAAGCAATGTGATCCAGACTGTCTGCCAGTATAGAAGGGTATCTGGAAAAAAAGGGATTTAGCTAATAAATATGCAATATATACCAACTACAAGATGCACTTCTTTGACCTTGTCTTTATTAAGAAGCCTCTGTAGCATTATACCCATTTCAAAAAAGCAGCCACCCCAGCCAAATACTGCTGGACAAATAAACCCTGAATTTGAAGCCCATTTAAAACAAAACACTGTTTATATCTTAGGATATGATGAGAGAACACAATGCACGGACGTTTATGGTGGTGTTGAAGAAGACATATAGAAGGTGTTCAGATACTGTAGTAATTATGGTCACATCAGAGACTTTGGAATAAATTATATAGTTTTAAGCTTTCTATTTAGTGTGTATATTGCTGTATTTTTATGTACTAGGCATTTATAATCCAACTGGAAGACAAAATAAGGTTGTATGAGACCTCTTATTTATATTTAACTATGTGTGACTGTTTTTTTAAATTAAATCTTTTTTAACTGATCAGATAGAATCTATAACAAAACGTTTCCTATTTAGATGAGAGATCTCCAGATGCGCAGTATGTGGATTTGCTGCTGAATCCGGAACGCTACACTGGATACAAGGGGCCTTCTGCTTGGAGAGTGTGGAACAGCATCTACGAAGAAAACTGCTTCAAGTAATTGAGAGGGAGAGGAAGGCTGTTTCTTATGCTTGCATTTCAATTTAGCTTAAAACTGATTTTCGTGTCTTCTGACTTATTTTCTAGGCCTCGATCTGTCTATCGTCCTTTAAATCCACTGGCGCCTAGTAGGGGTGGGTCTTGCCTGTTTTATTTTCTAATGCAGTTCTTTTAACGTGGTGACTATTGCAGTTCAAGTGATACAAAAAGTAATCTTTAGCGCGTAGGTGTGCTTTCTGCCTTTTTAATTTCCTCTGTAGAAGTAGCTGTCCATTTTCAGTATTTAGACTAAGGTTTTGATACTTGTTTACATACATGCTTAATCTTATGCATATGAATAGGCTTATTATAGTTAGAGAATCTAACATGGAAACTAAAATAAGTCTCAAACTGTTTAGTAAGTGTCACAGTAATTTTCCAGTGTGGATGGGAAGGAGTTAAAGTTCAAGAAGAATTTCAGCAGTCTTGTATTCTTCCCTTGTTTTCTTTTCCTAGAGAGTTTAATTTAATCACTTTAGCTCATAGTCATCCTAGTGTAATGTAGCTGTACATTTTCCATCCATAATGTTTAGTGTATTACAAATGTACAAATAATTGCATTATTTGAAGGAGTGGATACTTAGGAAGGCTCAGTTATCTGTAAGAATGTTAAAAAATAAAAAAAAAAGGCATGCCAATGACTTGCAGTTTAAGTTTTCAAATTTAAATTGAAAACTATAACCTGGTGTTCCAAATGAATCAGCTTTCCCTTGTCAATGTCTCATTTCCCTTAAAAATTAGTTATTAGCCAAAAGATTTGGGTTATAAAACATCACCACACATTAGAAAATCAAGATAGCTTTCAGTAATTATAAATATTGAGATAATATATTGCTGGTATACACAAATAAAAATAAAAGCAGTTTAACTAAGGCATCAGAATTTCAGAAAGGGACTGGTCAGATTGTTGAATTATGTGAACTGAAGAAAAAGACTTCCTAATCATCTTTCTGAAGCTAAAGCATAGCTTTCAAGAATATGTAAATCAGCTACTAATTTCAAATTCTTAGCGACTGTCATTATTGTAATGTGTTTAGTCTCAGATGGTCTTGAGGAGGAGGAAGGGGATGGAAAGTAGTCTATTTTTTTGTAGATTAAGTAAGGGTTCTTGCACTTTTTCAGTGTTTGTAGTAAAGCCTGTGTTTCATTACTACTTTGCTGTGGAAATTATCTTTTTAATGCTTATGGATTTTTTTTTTTCCCCCCTAAGGAGGAGATGATGGTAAGTCATCTTACTTTGCTTGACTTGCAGAAATGAAGTAAGCATTAAAGAGTTTGTTCTAGCATTAAAAAGCATTAAATCTAGTTTATTCACTTTATTGCTGTTGCATTAGAGGGCAGGAAAGTTATGTTTTTATGCAGATGATTGACCAGCAAATGTGTTTTTTGGGATAATTCTTTCATTTGGAATAGGGAGAAACTGTGGATAAGAGCAAAATACAATTCTGTTGTTGGTTCTTACCCTTGTAACAGAATACGTGTTGCGATACTGTTGTTGGTGAGATAACTGGAGATGTATAAAGTAAAGGATTCTTGGGTCTCCTCCAGAGCTTGCTGGCTGATGATGATGTCAGATCCCTTGAAAGAAGAGAGGCATTTTTTTTTGTATACGTTCTTGAATGTCCTTGATATTGTGAAGGTGGGGAGAATGTGGGGAGAAAAAGCATTTGGTCTGTCTACAGTGAGACAGATTTGAAGGTTTTTCAGTCAACTGAAAGCTCTCAGGCAAAAGAGCGAAGCCAACAGGAGACCTTCAGACAGCAGCAGTCAGGGTAAAGGCGATCAGGTACAATTACACTAATTACCCTCTTCCGTCACGTCTCTCACCACTGGTGCATATGATCAGGCTTATCCTTCCGTATTCTTCTGAATGCCCCGACCAGTACCTTAGTGTCGTGCTCATTCGTGCATTTCTCCTGCTCCGACCCGAGCAGGTTTAAACTGACCTCAAAGTTCAGCCACTCCAGTGCCTTTCTCACTTCAATAGCTAAATTATTTAGCTTTATGTTCAGGTGGTTGCTGATGTTCATATGCGAAGAAATATAGTGTAATGTTGAAAATGGACGATTTTCATTTAACTATATACTTTGTATTTACAGGAGAATCTTTCTACACATGGCTAGAAGGTAAAGGCTCTTGGATGGGTTAATATGTTAAATTCACTAGAAGAAACACTGTAGTTTTTTTTTCACCTGCCCAGTGTTGTGTGGGTTTTTTGTTTTTTTTTTTTTTTTCCCATAGTGTAGGCTTTTTAATAAATTGTGCAGAACTTCTGAGTGTCATTCAAAGAGTATGTTTTTTCTTGAGAGTCTCTGGAAATCTTTTTCACTTAGATGTGTAGTCCTTAAACCTTTCAGTGTTTCATCTTTTATAAAAGGGGGAGTTCACTTCGATATCAGTTACTTTGAATTTTCTGCTCATTTAAGGCATTTAAGCAGGGACATTATTGTTAGTAACATTGCTAAGTGTTTTTATTTGAAAACGAATTTAAAAAACATGAAAGTTTTTGATAGTTCTGTTCCCAGTATATAAACTATACTAAGTATAATGTGTGCTCAGAAGGTAAAGTAATCTGCTTTTTATTCATATTTAAACGGAAACTATTGTTACGGTGGTAGCAATCAAAACCCCATTTTGGAGATGTGCAGAAAAGTAAATGACTTAAATGTAAATGACTTAATTTTAAACTTAGTTAATTCTGTGTTTTCTAAGCTTTTACTTGTCTAGTTGGAGATCTCTAACTGGCGCTATTATAGGAAAGCACACAAATTTACATTTTATAAAATGGGATATCTGTAAATGAGGCCGTATCTCAGCCTTACAGATAGGCTTCACCATCAGCTCTTCCTGCTTCGGTTTGTGGAGATTAAAGTCTCAGGGAAGTCACCCAAACATATCTTTGAGAAAGGAACAAAATCCTAAATTCTAAGTGTAGTCTCTATCTCTGTGTCTAAGTGATATTATAAGTAATTTCTGCGTTTAAATTATATTTTGGCCACTCCATGCCATTGCATTTCTGTTTATGCTGTAGAAGTCTATATCCATCAAAGTCATATTTTTCAAGGTTTTACTCTGTGCATTTAAATCTTCCATGAATTTACAGTAGAGCTGGGAATAAATATTTTTGCTGTTTCTGGGGTTTTTTTATGTTTTTCTGTAAGGTCACTACTCTAATTCAGTGGTAGCTTTCATTCTTGTTAGGATGGGTCACAGTATAGTTCTGGTTTCCCAGCTGTCAAAATTCAAGACCTTTTCAAATTTATTGCTCAAACAATATAAGCATCATTTTTGTGCGCCAGTTTATCTGTACTAATTGACCAGATACTTATTTGACTGTATTTATTAGAGCACTAAAATACCAAGTAAGAAATATCAAACTTCATTCTTAGTACTTCTTTATATAAAAAAGAGGTAAACTATTCCTGTGATGGATATAAGGGCTTATTAACAATGCTGAAATACTGTAACTGTAACTCTTGAAAGTCAAATGATGCAGACTTGCATCACTGAAATGTCGAGGTACATTCATTTTAATATGTTATTTCCAGTATTTAGTTTGAGGTCTGTTTGTGTTGTTTTTTTTTTCCTGGACAGGTCTTTGCCTTGAGAAAAGAGTGTTTTATAAACTCATTTCTGGGCTTCATGCTAGCATCAACTTGCATCTATGTGCAAATTATCTTCTCGAAGGTAATTTAAGTCTAAGTAAAATTGCTGAATGGAATTCTACAATATCTGTAACATGTATTTGTTTTTTTCTGAATGTTTTTGGTGTATACTTAGTTGCTTTCTTTTTCTAAATATGTTTTACTCCTCCCCTGCCTTTTTTTTTTTCCTCTGTGTAGAAACCTGGGGGAAGCCTCGCTGGGGACCGAATGTGAAAGAGTTCACTCGCCGCTTTGACCCTATTGAAACAAAAGGAGAAGGACCACGGAGGCTCAAAAATTTGTATTTCTTATATTTGATAGAGCTGCGTGCTTTGTCAAAGGTTGCACCGTACTTTGAGCGTTCAGTTGTTGACCTTTACACTGGAAATGGCCATGAGGATGCTGAATCCAAAGCACTCTTACTGGATATCTTCAGGGATACAAAGTAAGGCATAGGATTCTTTCTTTTTATCGATAGTTTGAAATTCTCAGTTATATTTGCAAGTGAGAATAGACGACTTCTTGATAGGATAGGAAAAGAGGGAGAGTGGAATGAATAAATAAAATCAAGTAATGGGAGAGAACGAGGAATTTGTACATTTGGTGGGATAAGATTAGTATTTTTGAGGTTTGAATATACCAGTCTTTAAAAAAACACAAACAACCCCTCCCACACACAACACCCTGAGCTACTCCCTATTTGTTGCTTTTTCTAATTCTTCAGTGTAAGATGCACATGATTTATTTTGAAAAGGAAAATAGTACATGTAGTCTTCTAATGATCCAATGAGTAATCCAGCTTTTATCATAGAGTTAACCTCTGGGGTTTTAGCCATCACTTTTTCCTTCTGTTTGCTCTGTAAGGTTCTTTAGTCCAGTTCCTTTGCTCACCTTGCTAATTTTTGTGATTGGTAACTCGCTGTGTGGCTTCATTGCTGTCCCTAATCATAATCTTGCTAGGTGTTTGAGATGTGGTTGGCCAACAGTCAAGTGCAAGGCAAACATTAAGACAGTTTCCGTATACGTGTATATCTTGATCAGTGGAAGTGGAGTGAAGAAAATTCTCAACCGAACTGTAAATAACAGATTTCAAGTAACAGTGATTGAATAGTAAAACTGATACCATTCGGTAAATTTTTGAAGGGCTATTCTGCAAAGACTAGGAACTCTGAAAAGTATTTTACACTGATGGCATCAGCTGCTCACCTAGCTTGATAGAACACTGTAGTTCATGCTAGCGTTTGCTTTTTTTTTTTTGCATTTTGTCTTTATTAGGTCCTTCCATATGCACTTTGATGAGAAGTCCATGTTTGCTGGAGATAAAAAAGGAGCCAAGTCATTAAAGGTAAAGCTAGTTTTCTGAATGACATCCAAAATATCCATTTTGGAATTAAGTTTTATTATTTTAGAAAACCTCTCTACCTACCAGTAGCATAGTACTCAGAGTAGAAAAGGCGGGAACAAAAGCTTAGAATTGTATCTGAGGCCTCTTAATCTACTTTACAGAAAATGAATACAAGGTATTGTCCTGAGCCAAGCAGACTGCGATCTCTGTTTTAGTGCCTTGGGTCTGCCATCAGGACTGTGGTGAGGCAAACAAGATGAATTGGTATTACCAGTAGATGCAATGGTGTTTTTTTAAATAGAGTATGTTTCACATAAGTATCTGAAAAAAAGACAGATTTTTTTCTGTTTAACAGATTAAGCAGAGTGATGTTTGCTTAAAAAAACAGTTGTTTTGTACAGTATAATATAATATAGTATAATGTAATATAATATTATACTTAACGTTAGAAAAGGGTAGCTCCTAGACATGAGAACCTTAAGTAAATGCTGTTACTACCTAGCAACTTCCAGTGTTCACATGCTGGTGTTCCAATTGGCAAGTGCTACAATTCCACAGCTCGAGTGTGGCTCGGTAGTAAAGGTCTGTTCCAATGCTTGTGAACACTTGTAATACTTATTTCAGTAGTAGTCTAGAATCTCATCAGCGTTAGAAAGAATGCTATTACAAAGGTGCCAGTAGTTTATCAGTCCAGCTAGTGTTTTTCTGACCTTAAGTCTTTAATTGAGATCATATTACTTAGTTCTGTGCTGTGTTTGCTTCTACTCTGACTGAAGCTGCAAAGCGATCATCTGCCCATAGTTTTGGACAGGAAATGTCTTTTGTGAATTGTAACTTGTTTGCCTGTTTGTCAAAAAGGTAAGTTGGTTGAAAAGAGATTTGAATAACGGAAGAAAAATTGAGCAGAGACACAGATACAGCACTTGAAAAACTTTGAGAAAGTTGGTAGAAACTCAGTGTGCAGAATCTAAGCGTTACCCTGCATGTTCTGTATTTTGGGGTTTTTTTTAGGAATTAACTGTTAGTAGTGGCTTGGAAACAAGATTCTGAGTTTACGCAGACCTTTGTTATGGCCTGACCACGTAAGGTAGTGGTCTTGTTCAGTTTTAGGAACAGAGAATTGATATTCTAGTGCTACTAGATTAGTTAACCACCTGTTTTTGTAAAGGTAAGAAGTACTTTACCTTAACCTTTTTTATTTTGGTTTTAACTGATAGGAAGAATTCAGATTGCATTTCAAGAACATATCCCGCATAATGGATTGTGTTGGATGTGACAAATGCAGGCTGTGGGGCAAACTGCAGGTACAGTTCATTTTTTTGTGTGTGTGTGTGGCAGGAGGGAGGCTAGAAGATAAGCATCTATTTCAGTTTGGCTGGATGCCTCTTACCGTAGCATTCAGACTTGCTGAACATGGTTGGTCTTTGATATCCTTACATATGTATTAAAAACAGACCTCTGTTATTTCACTGTTAAACAATTTTTTAAAAACATTTGTTTTTTAAAAAAATGTTTCTTTGTTTGGTCAACAGCTGTTTAGTTTACTGAAAGGTATAGGTTGTAGTCTCTGAAAAAAAAATGTATTAAAAGCAGATGCTTCTTGGCAAAGTCTTACTGGCAGTCAATATCTTACCTGTATTCAGTTGTTAGAAAATCCAGCATGAGATTTAACTCCACAAATTGAGGCATAAGAAAAAGAAGTAATTCAGATTTTCAACAATTTATGCAGAAGGCAGCAAATGAATGCAAATGTGCTCAGTAAAGCTGAAAGTTGAAAAATCATTGTAGTTTCTGGACACTTATTACTTATTATTTCTTCTGGACACTTATTTTATTGAGAACAAGATTTTAAACCTCAAGACTAATGTTAAATCCAGGCTGAGAATCGCTGTTACTTTGGGGTGCCTACTGTATTCTACTGCTGTGTAGCATTAAGCTCATTAGAGTTCAGTTTTCAAAGAAATTTATAACATCAAAAATTTGGTGGTCTCTGCTGAATTTCCAGAGTTCTGCCTACCCTGTCCTAGTTACTGCTTCTGATCTATTACTGTTTTTTCCTTCTCACACAAAATGAAATAGGGCCAGATTTCCTGACCTATAAAATTTTCTTGCAGCCAGCCTCAACTGCTTTTTGTCAAAACGCAGTGGTTGTTTCTGTAGCCCAGTTAAAAGGGGAAATAAGAATAGCTGCTTCTGTTCTATTTCTGTATAGAAAATAGGGTTTGAAACTGAAACTGCAATGTTTGCCACTGGGACTGGAGGTGGAAAAAGCAGAAGTGTTGTGATACCTCATAATAAAACCTAGTTTGACTTCAAAAGGGGAGGGGAGAGGAAAAGGGGAGATCTGATCCAAGAGCTCCTGCAGCAGTGGAGCATCTGTAAAGTGAGGGGTGGGAGGGAGCTGGAAGTCTGGTAACAGGCATGTTTTCATACGCATCTGCTGTGGCTGAGAAGAAAAGAGATGGGAAAGAGAGAGATTAAAAACACAAGGATGAAGAGCAAGTACACCTGAGGAAACAAATGTTCTTAAATAAGTGACTGAACCTGGCACAGAATTAATGGCGTGCATTTGCATTAGTGTCCTTGTTTGTGTGCAGTTATTTGGGTTGAGGGAGTGTCAAGATATAAGAATTGGTACCGCAGTTTGGCTGAATTAGTAATTTTTAAACTTTTTTACAATTTTCTGAGCATTCAGAGGTGCGATCTTAATGATGTTAAAACATTGGACTTTTTTTGTAGACTCAAGGCTTAGGAACTGCTCTGAAGATCTTGTTTTCCGAGAAAGAAATACAGAGCCTTCCTGAGAATAGCCCATCAAAAGGTTTTCAACTGACGCGTCAGGAAATCGTTGCTCTTGTAAATGCCTTTGGAAGGTAAGTTTTCATCATTTGTGTGGTAGAAAAATGGTAAAAGTTCAGTGTCAACACTTAAGGTCTGTGGAAAAATGGTATTGTACTGGTAGCTGTAGCTTTTTAAAGGCTGAATTGCTGTTAGGGATATGGATAAACTTAATGCCGTCAAACTATGTGGAGTGTTGATTATTAGCCTTGGTCATCATTCTGTCTTTGGATCCAATTTATCTCTTTATTTCAAATCTCATAAATTCCATCTTGTGAACATCATTCTGTCTTTGGATCCAATTTATCTCTATTTCAAATCTCATAAATTCCATCTTGTGAGAGCTGAATTTAAGTCTCTTAAACAGTCGTAAACATTAGACTTTGAGGATTTCTCTTCCTTTTGAACACTGGCTGCAGCTGTTCTACATTTTGTATTTCTGTTTTAAATGTGTGTATGTAAAAAGTAGTGAAAAGGAAGAAAATACCTGGAGGGTTTTTTTAATGTTAACTGTCATTAGCCCTTAGGCTTTTAGATTTTTGTGTTGAATTTTTGTTAAAACTTTAGGTTTGATTAATTTTTTGAAAATTTACTCCATTCAAGTGATGAAATAAAACATTTTAACAGTTTTTAAAGATATGTAGAACTTGCTTTGTTCATCCTGCGAGTTCTTCAGATCTTGGATATAACAATCCATTCCTGTTTAAAAGAATGTAATAAACATTATTACCTCTGGTAAGAGATTTTTAAATGTTTAATGAAGTTGGGACAATTAAATACATATAAACTTAAATCCTTGTACTATACTATGTAAATATAATGGAGAATCAGATAGTAGATCTTTTGAGGGAAAGTAGTCTCTTAAGTGTGTTCATCTTTAGAACAGAATTTGTCCAGAAGATAAACAAACAAAAAGCCCCTATGGAAGACGATGATTTGTATTTCTCTTTTGCAGTTGACTTACTAACACTTCAGGGGTTTTTGTTTTACAGGCTTTCCACGAGCATAAGAGAGTTGCAGAATTTCAAAGTTTTGTTACAGCAAACTAGGTAATGAAGGCCTTTGCACCACCCATTAGTGAAGACCATTTACACGTCTGCATTGAGCAGGAGGAACTGATCCTTACAGGACTCAAATGAACTGATAAAAAGTAAAATCAAACACCAACTTGAATATTTATGTTTAAACTAGGAATGGTTATTAATTAGAAAATATATTTATGAATGAAATACATGGGTTTTAAATGTGTAAATTATGCTGATCTGTTTATTTTTTAAGTTCTCTGCTCACAGTTCTGTTTTACTGAAATTTCATAAATTTTCCTTGTATTTCTGAGACAGTTGTTTTATATGAAGACATATGTACCTGCACCCTGACTTGGCCTGTCCTGAGAGAGGTGGTTCACCTCTTGCCTCTCCCCAGTACCGAGCTTCAGTATATTCTGAGGATTGGGTATGCTGATTCTGACTGTGTAAAAGAAAAAAAAAAAAAAAAACAAAAAAAAACCACACACCAAAACCAGCAAAAATAGAAAAGGAAAAAAGGCTCTCGTTGAGTTCTAACTTCTTGCTGTAATAATGAAACTTACTTAAAAATAGGAAATTTACTGAGCAGAAAATTTTATTTCATACTGAGCTCCTTCGCATCATGCTGATATCAACATTTTTTTCCTTATGTGCTGCTTCTCAGAATTTCTTGTTTTCTTTAAAATAACTGCCTTGTCTCTGATGCAGCACAGTTGGAAGTGACTTTTCTGCAGCTCCTTGGCTACCTGCATTTTCTCGAGGGTGGGGGTCAGGGCAGGAGGAGATGCTTAGTGGAGTGCTGCTAGCTGAGAAGCCTCAGTCGATCAAATACACATCTACCCCATTTTATTTTCTAGATGGTAATCACAAGTTCCGTCTCCAGAAATTGTGTTTTTAACATCTAAAATGTTAAAATAGCACACTTCAGTCTTTGAGCCGTGGAAATAGATTTGCTCTTTATGGGTTATGTTTCAGTGCTATGATAAAAGGTCAGTGCAAAAAGTAAGAACTTGTTTTTGTAGTCACTTTGAAAAAAAAAAAAAAGCTTTTTAAAATTCATAATCACACTGACATTTAGTACCACATACTCTTTATCTATGCAATCCCTAACTGTATCTTCTTTAAAAGGATATTCAACTTAAAAAAACGGGTATGTTAATAACATAACTTTCATAAAATGAGAAATTACTCATGTATCATTGTCCACAAATGTCAATGATAACTTACCATTGTCCAAAACAGAATTCAGAAACAGTATTACTGATTAGTAGCAACCAAATATTGGGTTAAATTTAAAATAATCTTTTTTTTTTTAAACCAGCATGTTTTAAAGTGAAGTTAGGAGTTATGAATGTAGGAAGTGCTGGTGCAGTGTAGATACATGTCTTGTTTTTAAAAATAAATCTTCACAAAATAAAGTGCTCTTAAACATTTTTCACCCTGCCAGATATTTAGTGACCTGTTTATATAATTGATTGTAACTGCATTGGCTTCCATACTGTGGTCTTGTACACCTGAGTTTTTTTGGAAAGCTGGAATATGCTCTATGTCCTTGGTTTCCAGACTAGCCTCAAATTTCTGCCTGACTGGAAATGAGACAGTCTATCCTGCTGACACTTGCTATTATAAAAAATACTGTTTCTCAAGAAAGTCAACTCTCTTGAGTCAAACTGAGATAAGCTAAATGAAAGAAAAAACAAACCAGAACAAACCACCTCCACAAAGTTTTGGAGATAGTTGTATAAATTGGCAATGAACTGGTATCCAGTCAGAAGTTCCTGTTGAAGCCAGTAGATAATTTAACGTGATGTTAGAGAAACGTCTGGGGATGATATGTTCTTACCCTGCAGCCTCTCTTGCCTGTGGGCACCCATGTCTGAGCAAGTCACCATGGGCTGTCTGTTCCTAGTTAATGGAGAAGAGCAGGTGATTTCTAGGTGGATTCATCTGGCCTATTCCAAGTTCTTTATGATGGGGTGAAGACATTTGCACCCTAGAGTTTATTTTTCTCTGGTAAATTGAAGTGGGAATCCAGGTAACTAGCTCAGTTGTGAGCAGCTGTATTTAGTAAACGAGTTACACCCCGAGTATCTAACTGAGTAATTGTATATATTTAAAGTGTGTGGTTTTCAGTTGGCCATTAATTCCTTGCCTTTTGGATTGACCTGCAAGGGCTAGAACCTGTAGGCTCGCTTGAGTGAAGAATGCTCTGTAGCTGGAATTGATCTGTATTGTTACATATTATAGTGCCTAAAGCTTTAGGCAGGATTTTCTAGTTGAAAAACAATTGTGTTGTCTGTGCTGCCCCAGGAAGGACCTGAGCCTCAGAATTGTTTCTTCCCATTTTCCCCCTTTTTCATGGGGAAAGTGAATTGCTTCCAACTTTCTTCTGGGGACGCAACTCGCTATTTTTCTTTTTTTTTTTTCCACCTGTGCCTGGCTAAAATCTACGGACACTGAAGCAGCATCACATACTGGCATCATGCACTTGCTCCTGGGACAGGTGAGAGATTCAGGCACGCAGATCCTGGACACCTGCTCCTTGCAACCCTCATTGGCACGATGCAGGCAAGGTTAATACTGTTGGGTAAGGACATAAAGAAATGGGAAGCTTTTCTTCTTGTCCTTTGTGTCATGAAAACACAGGAATGCAACTGAACAGCTAATTTTGTGTACGGGGAAGTTCTGTTGCATTCGAAGGTACATCTTGCTTGGTGATCAAATATGGAAGGCATTTCACTTCACTGTCATTGTAGAAATAGGACGTAAGATTTTTCCTGCTACAAATGTAATTGAAAGAATTTTTCCATCACCATCTTTTTTACTGTATTTGATGTACATTCTGTGACTATGCTGCCTATGGAGTTTTGCCATGTGAGTCGGATGACTTAGTTCTTTATATGTTAAATTAAATTTTAGACATTTACAGATCTGTTTTTATACTAAAGAATAAGGTTAGTTACACTGTCTGTGACCTGTAAACTATTTTAAATTCCAGCTCCCTGTTGGAGATCAGCTTGTCAACATTGTCTGCCATTCATTTCACAGTAAAAGTACATTTCCTTGTACAAATGACACAATGATTGTAATCCCAGAGCTAGTGAGAAGATGAAGACAAAAACGTTTCATTTTTCCCAAATCGTGAAGACTGATGTGAAATAAGACTTGGTGCAAACCACACAGGTGAAACGTAGGGCGCTGTTGCTGAACGACTTGCTCTTCAGTGCCTGAGGAGGAAGGTGAGAATATAGATTTAAACCAGTAAAATGTAGAGACTTGTGAAAGCTGGAATAACAAGTTGTTTTCCTACTCCAGCTGGTGACTTGTGCTGTATGTCATTGTATGTGCATGAAATACACTGTGCCACACTTTCTTGAGTTGTGTTTTGATGGTTGGGTTGCCTTTATCTGACCTTGCTTTGTGCTATTCTGGGAAACGACCTGTACTATGTTGTAAATAATCTAGATGCTTATGTTTATACAGTAGCAACCAGCAATTCATCACTTTACAATTCCTCCATATAGCTAGCCTATTAAAACATAATATTTATTAAAATCAGTGTTGGAACCGCTTACTGAGATCTAAACACTTCTGAATCTTTGCTATGTTTCAATCTATAAAATGCGAATTAAAGTATTTTCTGCTACAACTTCTTTTTGTGAATGTAATTTTTGGGGTTTCATTTGAAAACTGTCTTACTTTTCATTTACCTCTCAACTACACTTGGTAGAAATTATGTAACTTACATTATTTACCTGTCTGTCATTTAAGCTGAAGACGATGAGCAGGCTTTCATTCTCACTTTCCTCCCGTTCAAAAGATGAGTGTCACCTGCGTATCTGTTGCAGTCAGCACGTCAGAAACATCAGCACGTCAGAAACGCGTGTGGCAGAATTACAATGTGTTTCTGTAGGAATATGGCCAAATTTAGCCACAAGTCCAACTGTTTTCAGAGGCAAAAAGGCTTATTTTGAAACGAAGTTTGGTCCGTTCTGTCCCTTTCTCAGAATAGCATATAAAATCAATTTTGTAAATATTTTACTGGTTGGTTCACCCAGTGGGGCTCTTTATGTGAAATTATTCCCCCTAAAGGGTTTCTGCAGCTTTGTTTTATTCTATGTATGTATTTTTTACAAATCTCAGTAAAACTTTGGTTATCAATATATACATGTTTCATCCCCCATTTAGGTGGCTAAGTACCTGTTACACAGGTAACGATAATTATAGTGATTTAATTTAAATTTAAGATCTTGCCTTTCATGTTATTTAAATCTCCTGTGTTCAAGAGTGTTTAATTCATTACTGTGATTGGTCATAGTCACTTGTAATTCCACTTTTTGTGTGCATACTGTGGCACAGGGATTAAGCTTGATTTAAGCGCAGAACTCTCATAATTAAATTTTTGCTGTGCAGCTACATCTACTGTGAAGAAAATGTAATTCCTGCAGAATTTCTTGCACTAAGTCTTCAGGCAGTTTTGTACAAACATGGTTGTAGAACTCCAAAGGGTTTAATAAAATTTCTGTTCTTTTCCCAACCCTGTGGCACTCTCTTTAAGCTCTGGCTGATAGTTTAATTGGCTTTGTTATTCAGTGAACATTTGGGAAGAGGTGAAGAGACTAATGGAAGCCCTGGAGGGCAAACAAGTGGCAGAGTGCCTCTGCCAGAGGCAGAGCTCATGCTTTGATTTTTACCACAAAGGCCCCAAAAATCAAAGACCCTGCGAAGACTTGGCAAATGTGTGGCACTACTGTGCTTTTAGCTTCCAAGCAGACCCAAGCAGATGTACTCCCCATTGCTGTCCCTTCTTTTTTTCCTGTATATCCTCTGTGAAATTTTTACAAGAATTCTCTCCTCCTTGTACTTCTTGAAGTTGGGTATGAGGAAAACATCAAGTCTGTCTACCATTTGGGGATGCCGTAGTGCACCTCAAAATGAACTATGTTTATAGAAGTAAAAATTACTATGAGAATTATGTTTTTCTCCTAGAGAAATGTGGATTGAATTACAGTATTTGTTTCACATGGGGAAGGAGAAAGAGACGCTGTGGGTGCAGAGTTCTTCGCAGTAGAGCATACCGGTCAGCATTGGGCGCAATAAAAGACCTGAAGCAGAGTTAGGGTTCCTGCTCGCCTTACATTGGTATTAATTATTTTTAGGCTTTCTGTGAGCAAATGTCACATATTAGAATGGTATTTATCCTCCATTTCCCACCATAAACCACCAAATTTATTCTTGAACATACAAGGCTGAAGCATGGCTTTTTGGACCTTCTGCTAGTTATACAGAATTTATCCTCTAGGTCCGCTTGAGGTTCCTCTGCTTTACGTATTCCTGGCTCTTGTTCTATTCCCAGACTGTACTTCTAGGTTTTTCATAAATACATAAGTACTCTTGGTTGTATTCATCTCCCTGGCTAGGTATTTGGCTTACTCTTCCACATAACATACCTAGAACTGATTGACAGAGA